TGGCCATGCCATCGGAGACGAGATTCTCGCATTTTATCAACTATGGAAGCTACGCCAAACTTCTTGCGTATGTCATCGTTGCAAATCCGATCCATACGGGTGACACCGGCCGTCCAACGTAGCATTTTCATCTCCATCACACTAAGGCGGGCTTCGACTTCCTTGGTTGCAGGCCAGCACGCTACTGGTCTGACCACAGTTCTATATATCTTCGATTTGAGGTGCTCTGGTATGGTCTTGTCGCACAGAACTCCAGTCATCGAGCGCCATTTCGCCCATGCTGCACTCACACGAGAGTTCACCTCTGAGGTCAGACTGCCATCGGACACAATTTCTGATCCAAGATACTTGAAGGCTCTTGTGCGTGTGAGCTCGATGCCACTGATCTTAATGGAATCGGACTCATTTGTATCGGTCGTACTCAGTTTTCTTGATGTTCAACTTCAATCCGAACTTCGTCAGGCGATCAGACCAAGCTTGCACCTGCTGCTCGAGTTCGTTCTTATCTTCACTGGCCAGCACCACATCATCTGCGTAGAGAAGCGTCCAAGGACTCGGTTTCTGGAGATCTCGCGAGATTGCATCCAAGACGACCACGAAAAGGAGTGGAGAGAGCGCAGAGCCTTGATGTACTCCGACCGTGATGGGAAAGTCCTGCGAAGTGCCTGATGGTGCATGCACGCGGCTCTTTGAGCTGGAGTACAGGATGCGCACCCACTCAATAAGCTCTTCGGGAACGCCGTGTTGCCGCAAGGCGTACCATATAACTTCACGCGGAACACGATCGAATGCCTTTTCTAGGTCCAGAAAAGCTAGATGCAGTGGTACTTGCTTCTCACGATGTCTCTCCAGCAGAAGACGCGCTGGCATGTATGGCATCGATGGTGCTACAACCTGCCTGATTGGTAGAGAGCTGGACGATTTCGCGGATACGGCTGTCAACGATTCGCTCGAAGATCTTCATACTGTGTGACAGCAGGCGAATTGGACGGTAGCTGGAGCAGTCCGCAGGGCTGCCCTTCTTCTTCCAAATCGGAATCGTCGTGCTCTCTTGCCAGTCCTTGGGCGTCTTCTTCTCAGCAACGACCTGATTGAAGAAATCCGTCAACCATCGTGCAGGGTACCAGCACCGTGCCTTCCACAAGTTGGCTGTGTTGCTTTGCCTGACTTCATCTTTCTGAGAGCCGCCTCCGTCTCTTCTACGGTTACTTTCTGAACGGGACCGTATACTGGGGGGAAGGGATGGCCGGGTGCGCATACTCTACGGTTGAAATATTCTCAAAGAAGTCGTGCCATCGCCTCAGCACCCTCTTTCGGTCCATCAAAAGGCGGCCATGCTCGTCGTTAACGCCAGGAAATTTCTCGATATCTTCGGTCTGACGATGCCGAGCCTTGGCAAGTCGGTAGAGGTGTCGCTCACCATCACGTGAATCGAGCTCCCTACTGACATCTTCGAAGTGGGCGGCCTTCGCTGCAGCCACAGCCTTCGCTACCTCTTCGCTTCTTTGTACTTACGCCAGCTACTAGCTGACTTGTCGGCAAGAAACGCGTGGTAGCGCCTCTTCTTCTCGCGAACCGTTTCTTTGACATTGTCGGTCCATAACCACGGCTGCTTATCAATTCTACGCCTTCCCGGCTTCGTGACGCCAAGTTCGGAACGAGCGGCCTCATGTATCGCTTTGGCAGCACTTTTCCAGGTCTCATCGACAGTCGTGACGGTGGGAAGTCGTATACGAGAGATCACAGCTGCCTCCTTTTCTTTCAAGCGCCACCATTTAATCCTCTCGGGACCACATCGCTCGACCCGTTTGGACCGGAGCTTTGCGATCTTTAGCGTGCAGATTAGTGGGCGATGTTGTGTGGCAACTGTCTCGTACGGCACCGTCTTCGCGTCCGTGATGAGCCCTTGGTCGCGGTGTCTAACAAGGACAAAGTCTATCTGCGTTCTGGCACTCCCACTGTAGAAGCTGATAAGGTGGGAGTCTCGTTTGCGAAACTTCGTATTCACGATGACCAGGTTATGGGCCTCTGCATACCCGAGAATTCTAAGGCGTTACGTGACCCATAACCGAAACCACCATGACAACTGTAGCCGTCTTTCGTAGAGCCTACGTGCCCATTTAGGTCACCAGCAACAATTACGACGTCTTCTGACGGTATCTCAGCTGTCTTCTCTTCAAGCAGGGACCAGAACTCGTCCTTGGATCGCTCGGAGCATCCCGTCTGTGGAGCATAGGCAGAGAAGAAATGGTACAACCGCTGCTCGATAGCAATAACGATCTTCATCAGGCGGTCATCGAAGCGTTCTACGCTTGCTATCGAGTCCCGGAAACGCTGGGAGACTATTACAGCCACTCCGTTGGTGGTTTTTGGTTTGCCACAGGAAGGGCTTTAAGCCTCGACCGATGTCCCTTGACTTGCAACTGGACCATCTTGTTTCCTGCACAGCACACAGGTCTATACGTCTGCGCTCCAGTGCCTCTGCCAGCTCACATGAGCGCCCCGTCAGCGTTCCAACATTCAACGTTGCTACGCGGACCTTCTCCATGTTGCATGACTTTTGAACTAGCCTGGTTGCCCCCCGATGCCGTCCTTGCATCAGGGACCCTCGCATACTTTCCACACTCGCCGGGCCATACGAGTGCGCGTCGGCTCCCGCGGACGCCGTAGCATTGATTCGGAATTCACATGGCATATTGAACATTGGTGATGTGACTTGGGTGTTCGTAGGCCGGCCCGTCACGAAGGCCTGTCACCTGCTTTCGAATGTCCGCGTTCGGCTCAGCCCGCAGAGCGGGCAGTTCCCAGTGGCACCACGTGAAGGAGCGGACTTCACCACTGCTTCATAGCAATCCCTTCGCTTCATAATTTGCTTAGCAAATGAATCGATTAGAGCGTCAGGAACGGTCGTCCATTTGTGGGCGGGCGGGCGTGGCGGGCGTTTGGGACGTAATGTTGTGGCTTGATAGGGCCCTTATAAGGGCACCTTCCTCGGGGAAACCGCTATGCAGCGCCTGCCCAGGGTCGCGGAATTCTATCCTGCCAGGAGTATTGATCCTAGTCGTCTTGGGGGTTTATCGTGCCAACTGCGTTTAATATTGGACGCACTCCAGCTGGAAAGGGGTAGATTTTGAAGCTAAGCCGTCATTGGAAGTGGGACGTGCTGACGATTTTGAAATTGATTCTTACTCCACATATCTTGTAATACATCTTCACAGTATCTTAAAATTTCATGCGGTCACCGCAGGTAAATATCCTACTAGTAGAATTGACGGAAACTTTTGCCTCACTTTGAACGGAAGTTTTGACTGGATACAAGCTTAGCACGAATATCGCTTCATCACATAACCCGGATATGAGGTGGGCGTGGCTACTTACTCCATTCGAACTAATACCTGCTTACTGCCTGCCTAAGTTTTTGGTGGTATACTGCCGTTTTGAAACAATTGTACTGTCCTTGTCTAACATGGGACAGGTTGACATCGATCCCATTTAAAAGACCTCACGAAAGAAAAAAGCGCATCATGCGTCATGTTTAAATAGAGTACACAGCCACGCTCTTTCCGTCTCCGAGAAATCGTGTTTGTTCGAAAAGATAACTAACCATAGGCGGCAGCAACTGTTGTGCACTTTCTAGGTGATTTCTTGCCAAGTCGATGATAATCCTGCACAGGTGTAGAAGACACCCTAGAAACGTTTTTAGCGAGTTCAGAAACGGTGCTCATGCCACTGGCGCCAGGTGTTTTCGTTGACGGCTTGCTAAACGAGTTACCGAATTGCCAGATGTTAGTAGCACTCGCTTTTTCAGTCGGATTCTTCGGATGATATCATCTGTCTGGAGCCGCCAGTCCAGACCACTGCGTCACAAGAGGCAGCCTCCGACCACTGCGTCACAAGAGGCAGCCCCGACCGCTGCGTCACAAGAGGCAGCCTCGACCACTGCGTCACAAACGGAGGAAGTGGTAGATAGTGGCACTATCACTGCGTCACAAGAGGAGGAAGTGTTAATCAGCGGTACGTTTGTCTCGCCATGTTTGTCGTGGCTAAAAATTCATTCACACACTTCTTTTACTGCTTAGTGCCAGAGGAAAGCTAGCCGGCCACACTGAAACTTAAATACTTTCCCAATGCGCAACTAAGATCCTCACTTTTGTATATTTTAGGAACAGTGGATGACGAACCATTATTTTTGGACGACTCCGAAGTGAAACAAGAACCTAACAAGGAGAGTAATCCATCGAGAGTAGAAGCAGAAAATTCGGCCAAAGTGGTCCCTAATGGCAACAGTACGACAACAAGGAAGAGGCACGCATCAGATCAAGGTTAAACTTTCCCCTTAATGCTTTCTTTGTCTTATCTTGGAATTTCGAACCTGTTGGTATCATGTTGCGCCAACTCAAGACACTTTTTGCAGTCCGTACTGAAAGCAAAAGTCAAGACGGAAGCTGATGAAAGGTATGTATTCGTATGTTTAAGCTCCTTTGCTCATTGTCTCGGAAGAATATGGTTGAGAGCGCGGCGGCTTTGCGCATTTGTAGACCTAATGGTGGCCCAGGCACGCCAACCGCTAGTGTTGGGAGAGTAAGGAGGAAGAGCAGGGTAATAGGCTATGCGAAGGCAACGAATACCTCCTGTTATCTCATACTCTCTCGAAACACAAGCAGCCAACGCCGATCGATCACGTCTGCGGGTGCACTCCCTCCATGGCATTGGAGCGCCATTGCAGTGGTAGGGCGTCGGGGCGCGTCATAGCGCTTTTGACGCTGTTGTCAACAGTTGCCTATTCATTTAGGGGTGTAGACAGCATAGTGTATAAAGAGCGTGGACCGCACAAGAAATCGTCTGCACCTCTCTGCCTGAGCCAGCAATGGTTTACAGTTGCGCAGCAGCAGCCGCACTCTTATATGTCTGTGAACACTTCCCTTCCATTGCTTAGAGGTGAATTCTTTTTATGTGGCTGATCGATTGATTCTGCTCAAAGTTGCTTCTGTGAAAAATGCATGCCATTTTCAGTCCGACCGACCTCAACGATGATTCTTCTTCATCAGAGGAATGCGGTCAGCGTAATGCTAAAAAGCCTGTGAAGCGCGAAGAAAGTGGACAAAGCTCCGATGACGGAATAAAAAGTGCAGTGATGAAATCGGATCCAAACAAAAGATTCGGAGAAGTAGTCGAGCTACTAACACCACCTGTTGTTACGAAAAAGGAGAATACTCAAAAAAGAAACCAGGACACCTTGGAGAAACGCATCCGCGATGAACAGCTACTTTGCAGTCGTCTCGAAATTTGCTCATCGCTCTATGTGAGAAATAGACGCAGCGAATTCCTGGACCGAATAGTAGTGTATGAGGAGAAAGGAATCTTGTACGACTATATTTATCGTCCACCGGGTCGACCCTCGAGAATGGCCAAATTCGAGTGTCCTGAAATTACAACGAAACGGAAAGTGATGCTAACAGTGTGGTGGACATCTTCAGGCGTGATTCTGCACAAAGTCTTGACGAGCAGCCCTACAAAGGATGGAAAGATTTTCACCGCTTATGCCGAGGAAATGAACAAAATTTTACACGCCAAGAATCCATCTCTCGATGAAGGACCAGCTCCAATATACCTCTACAACAGCTCTTGTGGATACATAAGTAATTCTTTAATTCATAAACTATGTCTAGATGGTTTCGAGTGTATACCGTATCCTTCTGATTCACCGTATCTCGCACCTCATGCTTATTTTGTAGGCCAACAGTTTGGTAATTATCTGCTTAACCAGAAGAAGGTTTACGATGTAAATGAGGCATTTTGTAATTTTCTAAAAACCATACCACCTGATTTTTTCATGAATGCTTTGAGAGAACTTCCGGTACGCTGGAAGAAATGCATTGATTCACGCGGTGAAATTTTATTTCCATAGTTGTATTTGGCGCACTTTGGCTTGGGGGGGGGCACCTAACAGTAATCAGTGAAGCTTGTACCGACTACTTTGTGAAGTCCTGTAACTTCTTGCAATCAAAGCGGCTCACATGTACTATTTGGCAGCTTCGCAAGATCTTACGGTCTCACCAAAATGAGACCTGTTAGAGCACTAGCGCTGTGAAAAATGCTCCTCCCAAGCCGAACAACGCCTTGTTTTCAGTATTTACTAATGCTCTCATTGGTTACATTCAATTTTCGTCGTTCAACCCACCTTAAGAGCGAATACCTTTTCTAAACTGGTATTGATTTTGCACGCGTTTGAATATTTCTTTTTACACTAGCACCCTGATGGGGTTGTGAAGGAACAGTTTTGGATTAGTGAATTTTTACACAATCGATACTGAGGGCAACAAGGGGCGCGGCTGCGGTGATGGTTCAGGTGGACGGGAGGTTGTGAAGTATCCAGAAGAGATGAATAGGTATGGTAATTTGTAGCCGTCTCCGACGCCCCTTTTTTGCCTTTTTGCCTTTTTTTGCCGATATGAACTACATCTATGTTGCCGAGTGATTAAGCAATTACAGACTTCTGGTAATTCGTGTCCTTTTTTGAAGCTTTTCTGAAGATCTGTCTCCCTTAAAACTTGTTTGCTGAGTGGTTTGCGTTGTATTTTTCCATTTTACATAAGTGCTCATCAAATGTTGTTTTCCACTGAATTGTGAGAGTATTTTAGGCGTTGACGTAAAAATGTAGATGACGTGTCATTGACGTCACATAACCTGAAAATGACGTACATTGACAAGTGTAAAATATTATTTTTCTCGTCATTACACGTTATTTGACACGTTATCCCACTGCCTTAAAGACGCTGTTCGGGGCTGTCGGTGGGCGGAGTCTGGGCCGTCGTTCCCAGCCTAGTACTCTCGGAGGGTGCCTTCAATAGACCCCTGCTACACCAGCGCTGCATTCCCATTGAAATATGTAGTCTCTCAATTTCTGCTCGGTTTGCTTAGATTTTGTTAGGTGTTAAGCAGTTTGTCTGTACATATCAATACGGATTGTTGTTTTCGTTTTGAAACTTACTCTGATGAAGGTTCTGTTCAGAAATGTCGTGGATGGTTCTTTTTGTTCTGCCCCTCATAAATAATTATCAGTGCATGAACTGTGTGTTCAAGGAGACCGTCGTAAACATACAGTTCACATCCGCGAGACAGTCGGGGATGGTGTGGCATGTTTTTGATTGGGACATTTCCATAAAAGATAACTTTCATCATACATTGCGCTGAACAAGGACATTGTTACCGTTGTCCGAAAACGGCATTATCCCACTAAATACGCTTTCGCTGTCACGTTTAAACAAAGTGTGTGCCACGATGATTCCACCATCGGGATATGGTTGCATATGTGTGACGATGAATCGAAGGAATATCCCGCAACAACCGGATGGGCAGGGATTCGTTAACATCGCTCTTCCCTAATGGTGCAATTCCCTCCATAAATACGGGAAGTGAGAAGGGCACGAAAAAAGAGGGAAGAGGACCGAGGAAGGCTGTGATCTCCGCCCGTTTCCATTTCTGCGGAATTAATGGCAGAGGGTTCCAAGTGGTTCAGAAAATGAAAACTGCAGAGGTAAATTGTGAACAGTAAGAGAAGTAGAGGATAAGCAATCACCAAGTTGATAGGCACAATAAAATGAAAGAATATTATGGCAGGGAAAGTACTCAGGGACAGGATAAAAAGGATGATCGTGCTAATTAGTCCGGTAAATCAGAGATCCTGAGCAGGGTATGGGATCAGGATCTCTGATTTACCGGACTAATTAGCGGATCAGGGCGGGTGAAGGGACGGTGTCAGTAGTCAGCACCCTTGTCCCACAGGATTTGACCTATCTGGTAGGACGCTTTTCCCATGCTGCATGCAAGCCTGCCAAACCCTTTTAATTTCCCACCAGATCTTCCTCGAAAACCTGCGTTGCGGAGAGGGTCGTTATAGTGCGCGGGAGAAGAGAAAGATCGGGAACCGAGAAATTCTTCCAGCGGCTTGGAAAAAAAAAACTTCTTTCAAGACCATCTCCAGCGACCACTTACGATCTCTCCCTTGATGGGTTCCAACGGTGCTATAGCTTGGTGCCACAGTTTCTAGCATTCGATCGCAGCCGAACAGGAGCTGGTTTCAGGAGGCATGGTGACTACCTCACCTAGCACATGGACCAGGGCACCCAGAGCTTTCAAAATCTCATCGGCCGTGCTCGTTCTGCGCTCATCAGAGCTGTGACACCAGTACAGTACTTCAGTATAGGCTTCACTGGGATGAGAATCTCTAACGAGTGTACGCTCACGTAAAGGATGACATACAGTGACTTCGGGTCAGATTACATCATTGTGGTGTGAGTACGACCCTCCAAATGAATGGTTTCGCTACAGTCTTATCGAACGACCCACCTTTATTACACCCCACTCAATTCCGCCATTTCCCCTCAAGATTCAGCCGTTGAGCAGGGTAGACTTGACCGTTGAGACCGTTGAGCACGCCTTCCAACTAACTGTCGGAAACATGATTTGTGTCACGCTATCAAGCTAGACAGGTTGGGGATTAGAATGCAGGTGAAACGGGAAAAATCAAACATCGAAAGATTCCCTCAAGGTGAAAAGTCGCCGCTAAATCTACAACAGAAAAATTTTCCTCGAGAAGCTCATTCTTCTTAGACTTTATCGATACTTACCTTCACTTTCAACTCGAAATCCCCTCCCTCGAAGAGGGTCCAATTATGACCCCCCCCCCCCTCCTGCTCTAACTGACAACCAGATGCATGTTCACCACAAATGGCTTCCTGAAATGGAATCGGAATTTCGAAAGCCGGACTCTTCTCTAAAATCCAGGCAATAAGAGGCTGTTTCAGCAATATGAGGCTGAACAACAGCCTCGCATTACCTACAATTTTGTCTTAGGATTCAAAATAAAACTCCTCGTTCGATAACCATGTATGACATGCAACTTGTAAGAAGGAACACAATCGAAACAGCGACTAATGGTGATCATTGATAAGCTGAATTGGTGAAAAAATAGCCCCAAGGTCAGCGTGTCAGGCCCCAGATGTGCATTCAATGAATGGTGACGGGGAAATCATGAAAACATGCACGACACAACAAAGCGAAACATGAAAAATAAAAAAAATGCGGAGCCAAATGAAAAAAGGATAACCAGGCGGCAGTAAATCGTTCTATACTTGGCTATTATCGATCGCAAGGCTGCGACCGCTTTCGCTGCAAAAACGTCATTGGAGCGCGGTAACTCGAAAGTCAGCGTTCTGGGGTCTTTTCAGGAGCTTATATCTCTTTTAGGTGCGGAGCTTTTGAGGAATGGTGAGCAGCATGCAACGGCAAAGTTTCTACTGTTGTGTATTCTACCTAGTTGCAAACTGAACAATCCCCCGTTGGTGAAATATTCCGGATGGGTTTTGGATAGGCTAGGGGTAAATCGCGAGCTGGTTTCCATGCTTCACGCGAGGATTGCTTCGTTCAAACGCAATTTCATCAGGATTAAATCGTCCTGAAACCCCTCCATCTTTTCTCTTTCCAATAAGCTTTACAGTTTTTCTGAAGACCCACTAGTTCAGGAGATATTTTAGATGGGTCACAGACGCGCTACCCTCTGACCCACCCGAAAAATCGACTCCTTCTGTGCCATTGTGAGGATACACCTTCGAAAACTTCCAAAACACATATTTCCCTTCAAATGAGTGAAAGAGGAGCTCGGCTATCACTGATCGATTTGGTCCGAGTGTGCGCCGTGCATTACGCTCCTACGCAGAGGTGGTGGAAAGGTGTAAATTCTGATTTCAGGTGCTTTTATCCATGCAAGCAGATGTTTGTTTAGGGTTTGGAAAGGACAACACGCACGAATCTGTTTGAGACGTATTATTTAGTCATCTACGTACTTACGAGTTCATGCTATTAACTGATATTTATTTATTTATTTATTTATTTTTATTTATTTATTCTTGATATTCTTGCTATATTGCTAATAATTTTTTATTATTTTGTAGTCCTATTTACATCCGGGTCTTCTGCAGCTTTCCGTTCCTTCCATCAAACTTAGCAATGACACTTTTGTACTGTTTGATGCCTAGCGAGCCTACTTTTGCGATACTCCCCACGTCCCCCGCGGCCAAGTACGAACCCATTTTTGGGGATTTTGGCTGAAAGAAGGACGTGTTAAAACGTAGCCAGTTAAAATCTGTAAAGTAATATCACTCATAATATAGTTTTCTTGTTTTTAACCATCTTACTCATCCAGTAAGCTCCACTCCCACTATTATGAAATGTCGAAGCATTGCGGCTTTGAGAGACCATTGAATATTAGCGACCCCCTTCCCAGGGCAAGTAGCGACGCCCCCCCCGCCCCATGGGTATGGCACACGATGCTGTACCCTGCGTCTCGGACATGCTGCTGTCATCTCTCGTAGCAAAGTATGGAACGCAGCTCCAACAGTTTCTCGCCGCGTTGTCTCTTTCAGCTATTGTCGTTCTGCGCCTCGTTAAACCTCTTAGGCATAGCGAGTCTTATCCTATACGCCTAGGCGCAACGCATATGAGCACAGTAGCGAGCCCTTCCCAGTATTGGCTAAAGTCAGGCGTGTGCTGAGGCTGTTTGTGTAAGTATTTCCGTGATGTGCACCGCGATTAGTCACGTAATATTGCAGCCGCAGTAAATCGATGCAGATGTTGGCAAGAGCGTTTCCGCCGGCGGCTTCTTCAACGTCATGACATCTGTCACTGACGACAACGGTGCAAACAGGAGCAGGTTAGTTTATTAGATTACTTTCATTCAAATGTAGAGAGAAGACATGCACTTTGTTGAAAAGCTTGTCGCTGTAAAAGTAACGTTTAAGGCATGCATGTGATTCACTCGTAACAGCTATAAGTTTCGGGTCCCTTTCAGCAAACCTGAATTGAAAATTTTGTGCTGTTCCAGGTCTATATCATATCTCGTGGTCGGTATAAACACCATAGAAGAGAGCAAAAAGATTTTCAAATTCTTGGTAAGTTAACACTGTACAGAATTCAAAGCTGAAAGTGGCGGCAGAATATGAGGCTTCTGTTTCTCGATCTCTGCGGAAAATTTTCTGTTTTTGCCTAATTATGAGTGCTTGGAAGGTTCGAGAATTGAATCTAGGATAGTTTTTAAGCGCCTTTGGCGTTTGTGTCTAATTTTCACGTGGCAGTAATTTCTCCACTCTGGTAAGCACCAAGATGCACCAAGAGAATTATTGTGGCGGAAATGTGTATTAGCCGGCTTTCGTCAACTAAATTTTAACATGATGATTACCAAACGATGCGAAGATTGTTCATAGGTTTTTGAAGCTGTTTTTGTTCATGAATACTGTTTGTACTTACCCGGGCTCAGGTACGTGTGTCTGAATGTTAGTTCGACTTCCGCTTAGGGCAGCGACTTTTGGCCGCCACAACTCCGCGTAAAGTTGTGTCATGATGGTTTCAAGGCTAATTGTTGGCTGCGACAGGCGAACCCGCGTGCGACAGCGATATAAGTTTGGTGAAGTGGGCTAGAAGCTGACGAAAAGGATGGAGATTACGTTCGGATTGCGGAGAAAGATATACAGCAATCGACAGCTGGCTGTTCGACGACTTTGGCGTCAGCGTCTACGCAGGCAACAGCAGCTTTTGTGCAGGCACATTAACAACTTGACCGAAGATTTCGGAAGGCGGGAACCCGTTGGTGACACTACTGTCTCAAATGCACATAGGAAAGGGCTGGTATTGGTCAGTGTAGCAACTTTTAGTGCTGGTTCTTGGCAGGCACGAAGGAAAAAAGGCTACTTCGCTTTACAAATCTCTTTTAGAGGTTGAATGGATATAAAGACGTGTCCCTTTTCCACGACTTTCCTGAGATCAAAGTTAGTTGCTTTTTATTCATTTTTGTTACTTTTTACTGGAAGTGTTGTTTAAGGGAACGGAAATGTCTATTACGACACAAGAGCCAAGAACTGGTAGGCGAATTTTGAATTTGTTGTTTTCATAACTTCGTTTTTATTTTGAAAATATAATCGACCAGTGAATTCGGGACATTTCATAGCTTCAGCACTTTTGTTGGGAAATTTTGATTTGAGATTTTCGTTCTCATTCTGTTTTCTAGTAGTTCTTCTTCTGTGCTAGGGCCGTGTTCACGCTTTGCGTTCATACTTTGTGGAGAGCGCGCGTTAAGAAAAACATAGATATCGATTAGGATAATGTGTGAATCAGGAAAACGCTCGTTGTTGGATCTCCACATTTGCGAAGTATGGACGCTGCGTTCATACTTTGTTTCATCGTTTTGAGCGCACGCCAGCTTTTTCAGCGACTGCCTTCGAAAAGTTCAAGACTACGCGCAAAACCCTCGAAACGCTGGCGTACACTTAAAACGCTATATCGATATCCTTGCTTCTCTCGTCGCTGGAAACGCTCAAAACGTCGCTGTAAACTCAAAACGGCAAAGTTGACGTCTGAATGTCTGGGCGCTGCCTAGCGTTCACTGAGGGCTAAAACGAATTCGCTCTTCTGGGTACTAGCGATCGCTAGATGGTGGGAATCGCCTTCACTCTCCACCCTGTTTTACCTCATGTTCCCTTGAATTTGTTTTCAGAAAGACATCCTTTCTCCCGTATTTTGGGACTTCCAAATACATTTGGCAGGATATCTTATCGCACCTCCAATGATGAACTGTTGACAGATCAAGAAAGCTCATCGAGAACATCAACAGAGGAACAAAGGTGCGCAGATTCACGTTTCCATAACAACATCATGAAGCGAAACCATGTTAATGTTTCAGAGGTACTGGTTTTTGTTGCGTTTTGTGTGGCAAAATTCGACCGTTGCTCGATGCTCGCAATGCGCCTAAGAAGTTGGAGCAAAATGTTATATTCCTTTCTTGTTTACTGATGGAAAACGCTATCGATATGTATACGGCTACCAAGCTCTATAAGGAGACGCTTGTCACCTTCAGACGCCTCTGCCAGAAGCACTTTATTCGCGCTGTAAGAATTTTTAATATTTTACCACATTTCTCGTGTTTTGCCTTTATACAGTGTGAAGACTTGGATTTGTCGTATCTGCCGCGTGGGCGGAGCAATGATGGTGCAACATATTGCGGGCGGCACTTGCTTACTCAGGAGGCCTTCTTCTTTATGTAGAAGACGAGTAGGAGGCGTGCCAGTGATGTCGTTCTGTGCCGCTCGCCGCCCGAGGGTTGACATGTTTCCTTGACGGTGTTTTATACCAAGGACTTTCAAATGTTTTTCATGTAGAGAACGCCAGTCAGACCCGCAGAAAAACAGCATGTCATATTGTGTTGGTTTTTATCCTTATGCTCCTGCAGTGTTGACTGAACCTCTGAGTTGGCGACTGTCGAAAAATCAGTTTACAATGAAATGTGCTTCTGAAGGACGCGTTCTCTTTTTGGCGCTAGATTTTAAGAAAACAGCAGAATGCGCGGAAGGAAGGTTCAAGCATCGATTAGAAAAATGGGAGGATAGGAGATTCGGAGAAGGCGCGAATCAGGGAAATGTGCGTCATGGAGTGGATAGGATCGATGGATTCCGGTCGCTAGCAAACTGGGAAGTCAGAAGGAGAACAGGAGTTGCTCGGTCCATCCACTGCTTGAACACATCTCGCTTCGCGCCTTCTCCAATGTGCCGATTCTTCTATTTTCCTAATTCTCCTACCTGAAACTTTTATGCTTTCCTTTGGCGCACACGTTCCCATTCTCCTGTTCCTGTATCCTCCAGTGTCGCGAACTATGTACGCGCCTTCCGCCCCTCATGAGCACAAAAAATTATCAAAAACCTTCATGAGTGTCGTGTTCGATTTTGCCGTGGAACATCAGGGCGAAAACAAAAAAGCAGAGCATTCTCATACCATATCTCGCGCATAGAACTCGATCTATGAGTTTTATCTACTCCAACTCTAATATTTTCCTCAGTGCAACCTTTTATCGTAATGAGATACCGTACTTCTCAGCAATTATCTTTTCATAGTGATTGTCAATTTGTATACTTGGCTGTCATTCAGTGATCCCATCTTTCCCTTTTCAGGCCGCTTTCATTGGGCGAGAGATAAAGAAGATGTCAGGACTATTCCCTGTTTATGGACTTCATAATGTATCTAAAAACGTACTCGAGATCTTCCTGGCACATTTACAAGTATTCGCAGATTGTCTTGATGTACGTTTGATTTAACGAACTTGTAAGCGCAATTCAGCCACGAGGGAGGGGCGGGGGAGGGGCATTTGGCACTTTCGCTATTTCACTAGTACAAGTCTCGCTGGTGAAACCTTTGAACTCTTGTGCAGCTGGAGCGAGCTCGTCGAACTGCTAGGGTAAATAATATTTGCATGTTATTTCATTGCTTTGCAAGAGTTGACAGGTGGTCTCTACAAATTTTCTGGAACCATTTCGTGGCTTCACAAGATTTCGCAGCTCTCCTTTTGATGGCTCTGCACGTCAATGGGAAGTAGCAAAAGTACAAAATACTCCACACCCTTCACCCCTCTCTCCCCCTCCAGCCTCCCGTCGTCCAACTACGCCTCCTTACGCGTAACGGTTTGTTTTCCAGGAGAAAGTCATTCTGGGAACATATGATGTAATAAGATTTTTCAACGATTGCTTAGCAAGGTATCATAGTGCGGACGACTGGGGTGTCGCCGAAATGCAGGAGTTTGCGCATAAGTCGCGAAAGCGAAAAGAGGTTTGATTTAGTTCATCTACCTATCTAGTACTGCCTTTCAAATAATCTTATTTCGGGATTTTAGTTATCTCCGTTAGCAGATGTTCCCGAAAAGGTCAGACCTCCAAGCCAAACCGGGGCTGTCATGAAACCGATTTCGACTACAGGTGAGTGAAGGATAACTCCCATGGAACCTAATCTTTTCTGGAAGAAACATCATCTGGTATTTGTTTCGCATTTACGACTCAAATAGTAACCGACTGTGTTGAAGATTATGCTCAATCGCCACTATATAATGAAGCGAAAGAAGAACCGGTGGATTTCGAAGAAATATCGGCTACAGACCTGTTGTTGAGTCAGTCTGCTCCATCTTCAAGCTCTTCGATGTCGTTCGACTCCCCATCATCTACGAATAAAGGTGCTTGTGATTTTAAACTGGTCGTTGTCTGGTACACTGAAAAGGCGTTCATAACTTGCGAATGTGGGGAATCTGCGATTCCCGTGAGTCGGAGGCAAAGGATAGTATTTGTCCGAATCTGAGCCGTCAATGTATGACAGAATCCGCGATTTTGAGGAGTCAGTGACTACGAATCACTTGGGAATACATTCACTTCGCAGGCTAGTT